CATTTGGTCAAGCTCCTCATGGTCACGCTTTGCACCCATGCTCATCGTATTTGAGGTTGACCATTTGGTCAAGCTCCTCATGGTCACGCTTGCACGAATGGTCATCTTATTTGTAGTTGACCATATGGTCAAGCTCTTCATGGTCACGCTCGTACCAATGGTCATCTCTTCTTATCTTAGTATTTCCTTCATGTCAACAACGGTCACCGGATCACCGTGTTAATAAAAAAAAGTTAGCTGCAGATTTTAGCATAGTGCTAGAGAAAGAGTTGACTAATTGGACCATTGGATCCGTAACACCGCTGCTTTTTCTGGTGTCTCTAGGTATTGAAGTTCTAAGAACAGTTCCATTGAGAGGTTGTAGAGGGGATCTAACAATGAAAAGAAACGAAAATATTAAAAAAAATCAAAGAAAGAGAAATTTCTGATTTTGATACTCCGAACATCTAAATGCATCATTTTTTCCACATGTCCTTATCTAACTAATCTAGTGAAGAGAAAACAAACATTAAAATCTTGAACTCACATATTTTAATAAATTTCAACTCGTGTTTGAATCCAAGAAATCTTCAACTTTTCAATATTAATCGTTTTAATTTTCATATTTTCTTAACTCGGCCATTTAAAAAAGACGAATAGTCAACTGTGAAACTCATTTATAAAAATAGATGTATATTAACTCTCTAAACGATGTCATTTTATAACAAAAAATCAGTTAAAGAAAACTGTTTTGCTTTTAAACACTTAAAGCATCTTTGTGAAACTAGAGCACCAATCAAGTTCATCTTCTTTACTCAAAAATAAGGAAGATGAAATCGGTATGGGGTTCTGGTTTCGCTAATAAAATGTTTTAAGTATTTACAATATCAAAATTTACGTTGTTTGGTTGATATTTAATCACTTTTTAAAACAACATCTTTTAAAAAGTTAACATACATCTATTATATTTAATTGAGTTTAAAAGTTAACTATTATCACGTTTTCTTAAATGATCGAGTCAACAAAATATAAGAGTTAAAAAGTTAATATTTGAAAGTTTTATAAACATGAATTGGAGATTTTTTTTAGTTTTAATTTGAAAACTAGTGGTCTTAATAGTCATTTTCTTTTTAATTTAATAGGATTGTTGTTTCAAGCTTTTAGAATAGATTTTGGTTTTTGTTTCTTCAAAAACCATCTTTCTTCCAATCAAGCTTTTTGAAAGAAATATATTTTCTAAAATCTAAGGAAACTAGTTTTTCAAATAACTGTCTACAAATTTAAGGAAACAAAAACCAACTTTTTCTAGTTTCTGCTTGAAAATAAATTTTCCTTTTTCTTTGCTACAAATATAACTATTCGTCTTTTGAAAATTTTATATATATATATAAATACTTAAGACGTCAGTTAAAAGAAAGTAGACGTAAGACATTTTGGTAAATGATAATGATAATATGTAGGAATAATCCCTGAGCATATAGGACATTTTTACATAAGACATATATGTGAGGATTTTACATCTATGCCTGCCTATTATAATACAGATTAATTTTACTAAAATTATTACAATATTTTATCTAATAATGAATTGATAGTCACATTTTTTGCTTTTAGTATAAGAGCAAATCTCCCAAATAGCACATTTCTAAGTTTACGTCACAAAAATAGTTCTCAAAAACTAAAATAAGCAAAATTGCATATTATCTATTGAATATTTTTTTTTTTTTAAAAAAATTGAAATCTTATTCCTAAAATCCCACTCCCCAGCTCTAAATCCTAAAACCTAAATTCTAAACCCTAAACTCTAAACTCTAAACCTAAACCCCAAATCCCACAATGTCTAAATTAATTTATCATTAGGATATATGTCTATATTTATCTCTTTTGATAAAACATTAACTGCTATTTTGGTCATTTGTATTTTTAAGTGTTATATTTGTGACAAAAAATTTTTAGTGCTATTATAGTCATTTTCTCTTAGTATAGTAATTTACAAAATAACTAAAAATATGAAATCTATCAGTAAAATAAATATTAATTGTTTAAAGTTAGACATTAATACATCTATATTATTAAAAGAGAAGTACCCATATAAAATACCCCTTAGTTTTCACTTTTATTTACAATAGCATGCCACTGAAATTATTAATTACCCTACCTTATAGGATTCTTTGTCTTTTCACTTTAATTAATGCATTTCCAAAATCAAATTTACCTAAAAAATATTATGGCAATAATAATTAATGAAAATAATTATTTTCATATATACCTTTCGTAATTAAATAAATAAATTCTATAGAAATTGTTTTACTAATTTAATATACATAATAATTAATTCCAATATTAATTAACCTACCTTTTAGGATTTGTTTTCTTATTAATTATCTACATATCTTTAAATAGTTAATAAACAATATTGTTTTCAAAGATATATAATTATATTTTTATTATTTATAAGTAATAACTAAAATAAAAGTCACAAAAAGAAACATTTATATAATATAATACATAGATTAATATAAACATATTATGTTATGTATATTTTTATATAAATAATAGTTCAAGGTAAAATCAGAATAATAAAAGTTAAAAAAGTAGAAATATGTAGGACCATATATTTTAAATAGTAGATACAACAATTTAATTATACATTATCATAAAATTTTGATCCATAAAAATAAAATAAAAATATTTTTGCAGATATACGGGTCATATTTTTTAAATAAGTATGACACAATGATAGTTTATAAGATAAAATAGAATTACTCAATATAAACTATAAAATTGTGTGTTTAAAATGTCGTTTTAAACAATTATTTAAAGGGGTAAATTTAGAAATATATATTATCACTTATAAAATATAAAAAACAAACACTTGCACGGATCAAACAACAAAATTTTCAGTATTTTTCTGTCAAAATTAAACCCATAAGTAATTTGTAACCAATTAATTGATACTTCATTTTTATTTTAAAAATTCAATCCAAATGTTTTATCTATTAAAATTTTTATTTGAACATCAGGCTTTTTCTTAGAAATGTTATAACTAATTTATCCTCTTTTTTTTTTAATACCATATTAACTCTTACTTCTCAAGATTTGATGTATCTTTAACTGAAAAAATATTTTCAATATATCGTCTACATGTTATATTTTTTTGTATGATACCCAATATTTTTGATACAATAAGTTGTCAACACACACAAAAAAAAACTTAACGTAATACAATTAATTTTTACAAAAATTTCATCTAATATAAAAATTAAAAAAATAAAATTAATATCCGTGCGGTCGCACGGGTCAAGCTCTAGTTAGTACCTATTAATATTTGTAGCTAGACTACGGCTTTAACTGGTAACCATCAAAGTAATATGAGGAATAAGAAAAAAGAATGAAAAGGAAAAAAATAAAAGAAAAATCTATTCCCCTTCTAATTTGACAAGGAATAATTGTAGTCTTTTATTCCTTAAATCTTAAGGAATGTTAAAGAATCATAGGTAACAAATATTTTGTAAATGGTGTAAATTGTAGGGAATGAGTGGGAATAGTAGTAAGGAACTGACTATTCCCACTCATTTATTTGGTCACCATTTGGAACCTACATGTTTTCAAGCACCATTTACAGTGAAAATATTTAAAATATTTATTTAACAAAATAAATATAAATTTAAAATCTAAAATCACCATTCAAGTTTTTTCAAAAAACTAAAATATCTACACTAAAATAAAAAAATCATCGAAACAATCTCACTTAAATCAAAACATAATTGTTTACTTTAAATACTATTATTTTGATTTTAAAAACCTCTGTTTTATATACTCACCAATAACGTTTTTTTTTTTTTTTTTTGAGAACAGCTCACCAATAAGGTTGCTCTAACATATTCATTGCATTTACTCTTGAGGCTTCCACAAACATTACGCTCGATTCCACTTTGCACCGATCATAATCACATTTAAAACCATAACCCTCAAGCTGTCTGTCTCTTTTGTCTGGTAACGTTATCCTTAGCAACTAGGGGCGAGAATAGCGAGAGTCTACCAGAGGAGCATCAAGCCATATACAACTTAAAAAGTAAAATAAAAGTCACCATATTTCTTTCTAGTAGCAAGAAAAATGATCCAATATCACAACAAAATGTTTCAACTAATTCTGAAGACTGTCTTAGGACAAAGAAAAACCTAAACACGGATAGCAAACAGCAAAACAACACACAAAATTGAAAGGAGATTTCGAGACTTCCAGTTAACAACCTTGAAGCTTCTAGTCTCATGGGTTTCCGCCAACTTCATCCTCCTTAACACTTCCACAAACATTACATTCAAGAAACCTCGAAACATCATGACTCTTTGGCGGTAACGGAGCAAGAGTGCCAAAACAATTCTCCTTCTCACACATATATCTCGCAAAGAAGTAAGCATGAGGGAAACTAGATTCATCATCACCACAACCCTCCTCTTCTTCTTCTTCCTCCATCTCTTCTTCCTGATCATCTTCACCACCATCCATCTCATCCATAGCCTCCTCGTTCTCATCATCCTCACCTTCAGACCAACCAGACTCCACTTTACACCGATCACACTCACATCTAAAACCGTAATCCTCAAGCAACCTCTTCTGTCTACCAGCGTAATTCATGTTGACAGGGAAGTAACTCAAACAGACTTCTCTACCTAGAGGAACATCATGAATCATCCTAATGATGATATCAGTATTGTTCCCATCAGAAGAATCAGAGTCAACGTAATCGAATCTACACGCATTAGGAAGACAATCATGATTAAAAAATGACGTCTTCGGATAAATCCCATACGCTCGTACCGATCTCTTCTCGTTACAAACAGAGAACGGCTCCATCAAACCGAATCCGTTAACCTTATCCTTCTCCAGTAGAGCCGCCGTGAGCTCCGGCGAGATCGGGACCGGAAGAGGTGGACACACAGAGGATAGGAGAGCGTNGCATTAGGAAGACAATCATGATTAAAAAATGACGTCTTCGGATAAATCCCATACGCTCGTACCGATCTCTTCTCGTTACAAACAGAGAACGGCTCCATCAAACCGAATCCGTTAACCTTATCCTTCTCCAGTAGAGCCGCCGTGAGCTCCGGCGAGATCGGGACCGGAAGAGGTGGACACACAGAGGATAGGAGAGCGTGAAGGAAAGCTGAATCAGAGGTAGAGTCTCCATTTCCTTGGAGAGAGAGCAAGATCTGGAAATCAGGAGGAGAAGCAGAGGCGAGATTGTAAGCGGAGAGGAGGAATCGAGCTTGGACTTGGCGTTCGGGGGATTGATCGGCGAACGCGGCGGAGGATGATTGGTGAAGGCGGCGGAGAGATTCGCAGAGCCAAGGAGTGTGGAAGGAGAGGCAGTTAGGGGTACAGAAGGAGACGAGAGAGCAGGATTGGCATCGATGAGATGATTGAGATAAATGTCGGAAACAATGGTCGCAGTACGGAGAAGGAGATGATGTGAGGAAAGGAAACGCTGAGTAGAGGAGGAGAGGGGATTCTCTGAGGATAACTTGTCCGGCGCGAAGGGGCTGTGCCGCCACTAGACTCCTTCCTCTTCCATTGATTTCTGCAACTTGTAGCAGCGGGGTCTCCGACTTAGCTCCGCCGTCGTCCTTCATCTTTACCACCAGCAGCCGATTAGGGTTTTAGCAATACACGATTTATATTGAACAAAATGAGAGAGAGTGAAATGGTGCCGTTTGGTTATGTTTCATGTGTTGCTCAAAAAAAAAAAAGGTTATGTTTCATGTTACTGGGGATATAGTATTGGGCCTCATTCAAGATTTATCGAAACAAAGGCCCATTTACCTACTAGAGCCGGCTTTCGTGTGTTTTTCTTGTCAACGATATTCAGCAAGGATTTCTTACTCTAGAGCGACCATTAAGGGCATCATTCAAGTGATATTTTTAGGTCTCTTCCAAATGATAATGATTCTATTGATTATTAATTTGGAATATTTAGATTTTTTTGATAGATTATGGATCAGACTGAGTAGATCAGACTTTGATACCATATAAGAACATCACTCACCAAAAATATGAATTTTCTTTTTAAGTTTCTTACTATGAATTTATGTAAACAGGATTTGTATCAAAATCCATCTTAAGCATTCACGCATCATTCAACATAGTAGGGTGTTGTACTCTATAGCGGATGAAATCAAAATCCATCTTAAACATTACCTAAAAAATAAACATTTTCTAAGTTCAGACACATCCCATAAAAGATGTAACAAGATGAAAACAAAGAACATGAACAAATCGTTGAAACGATATATAAAAAAAAAAAGGAAAAATTTGAACCCTTACACTTTGTTGGAGTAATGAGATGGACTTTGTTTAAACGATATTACTTCTCTTCTTCAAAACTTTAAACGATTTTCAGAGCCGTAAGCTTCCGGTTCCGATCCTCAGTCAAGTTTCACCGAAGAGAACAAGTAGTGGACGAACCAGAAGGAAGAGAGGAAACCGACAGTACCTGTTGCGAGCATGATAGCCAAGACCATGAACAGAGAGTATCCCAGGTACAGAGTCGCTGAAACGGGCCCACTCAAGCTTTTAAGGTCGAAGACGAGATAGTTTATGGAGTATATGAAGATGTAGATTGCAACGGATCCTGATGCAAAGAATGATTTCCACCACCATTTATAGTCTTCCACACACAAGTGCATGTAAGTTAGGACTAGAGAGACCTCAGCACACACCACAACGAGAAGGATCATGACAACAAACAAGAACCCAAAGACGTAGTAGACACGGCCCATCCAAATGCTGGACATGATGAAGAACAGCTCGATGAAGAGGGTACCAAATGGTAGTGTTCCAGCGCCAAGAACGAGAAGCCATGAAGGGTATTTCTGAGCTGGGATTTCCCTGGGAATCTGGTTGGTTCGAACCGGGAATTCAATGTGAGGAGCCTTGGCTCCAAAGTAACCACCGATGAGGGTGAGAGGAACCGAGATGCAGAACCACAGGAGGATGAGGATGACAAACAGAGAGAAAGGAATGGCTCCAGTGCTATGGCTACCCCACAGAAGGAAGTTCAACGTCGTGAGGATCAAAAACGCAATACCCGGGAAAAAGCAAGCAGCTTTCCATGCAACAGACATCCATCCACGGTGCTCACCACATCCAATCGTCCTCCAGAGACGAACAGCGACATAACCAGCTGCAATACCAAGGATCATGTAGAAGAAGAGCATACCAGTGATAAGCGTTCCACGTGAAGCCGGTGACATGAACCCAAGAGCAGCGAACAAGATAGTCACAACAGCCATGCCAAGAATCTGAACACCGTCACCAACCATAACACATAGAAGCGAAGGGTTCGACGGAGCACGGAAAACATCACCGACAACAAGCTTCCACCCAGATAACTCTTCATTCATCTGAGCTTGAGCCTCCTTATCCAGCTCCTCGTAACGTGTCAAATCCCTCCTAACAGTCCTCAAGAATATCACAAGAACAATACCAGCCAAGAAAGTGATCACCATAAGAGAGTTCAAAATCGAGAACCAATGAACCTTTGAGCCTTCCATCTTCAAATACGCATCCCATCTCGACGGCCACTTAATATCACTCTCCTCGAAACTAACTTCATAAGAGAACACAATAGACTGCCCTTCCTTGACAGACATGGAAACACTAGTGGAATCACATTTGATCGGAGTAGTGTACCTCTCATACATCTTCAGCTTCTTCGTGGAGTCACCATTATGAGCAAAGCTGCATGGAACAACCTCAAACCCAACAACCATATACCCAGGCACATCAGAATCTTTGTCCTTCCCCATAGTGGGAATCACCTCAGCTGCATCCCCAGTACCCATGACACGTGCCACATTAGCAGCCTCCTCATACTTATGCACAAGAACCTTAAACTTCAAGTGGTTAAACACATAGTAAACATCCTGAACCTTGATCCCAACAGGATACCCAGTCCACCTCAAAACATAACCATCTTTCTTAGTGTAACGAATCGCAGGCAAATTGTCTAACATAGGATTCACCTGATACATCTCATCAATCCTCTTCTTGAGAAGCTTGAAACCATCGCCAGATAGCTTCTCAGTCTGACAGAGAAAGATCTCACTCTCGTTCTTGAACATTTTGAATCGATAAGGTGAATTCTCGATCCGATCTCCCATGAGAAGCTCACCTAGATTCTCGGCACTGTCCTTGATTCCTTCAGGGGGTTGGCAAAACGGCAAGCTGTAGTAGCTAAACGGCATCTCGGTTTCGATCGAAGTGAGAGAGTTTACCTTCACGTTCAAGTAATCACCGACTTCGTACTTGTGAGGGTAGCTTCCTGGGAGGTAGAACGCGAAACCTAATTGGATCAGCGAGAGAATCGCTGCGAGGAAGCAGATCTTGAATCGATCCATCGAGATCGTATCTGGAAAATGAGTGATGAAGAAAAAAAAACTCGTCAGAGATCTCAGATCTAACGAAGTAACCTCAGATCTAAGATCTTAAAGAGGTGAATCGGAAAACGAGAATGATGATTAGAGTTTCTGGAAAGAAATCGACACTCACCTGTTGATTAGCGCGTAGGGAGGAAGAAGAGCTTTCGTTCTTTTCGTAGCCAAAAAAAAAAACTAAACCGAGAAGGGAGAGAGAGAGGAGAACTTAATCGATGAAAGGGAAACGCGAGCAATAGAGAGAGTAAAACACGTTATATATTGTCCAATGAAAATGCTACACGTCAGCTAAGTATTAATGTGAAGGAACAAGTGATGCCGTTTTGTTATTACGTTAGAGACATACTAATGGGCCTTATAACTTCACGCAGTTTTGGCCCATGAGGTCAAATAATGGATTGTATATAAGATTGTGCTTATAATAAATATGCACATTCTATTAGAAGATATTATTTAATTTAATTTTTTTCAAAAAACATTCTTGTTATAAATTTACGTCATTAATTAAATTTATTTAAATAGAAAAAGACATAAATAAGAAAAGTCTTCGTTACTACAGCATGCATAGATAAGATAGTTGAGCAGAAATCATTGCTATTGCAACTTCAGTGGAATCGAACTCTTCCTTCCTCCAGCCTCTTAAACTACTTGTCAGCAAAGTCAATCAGGAATTTTCGAGTCTCTTTTATAAAAGCTATACTGTCCTGAGAGACATAAAGAAATTACAAATGTTAACCACAAGCAAAAGACAATAAAAAAATTTGACTCTAAACTACCTGTTCTGCTCTAAGGACAGGTTCTGAGTGATCAGGCAGTACAGCAGCAGCTGAAATAGGAAGCAAGATTAGGAAAGACGAATTTTGAACCTAATCATCATACCAAACAGCATAGAACATAACCCATACATACCTAGGGAGTATCCGGAAGTCAGTCCAAAGGCTCCACATGCAGTCTTCTTCCCCACCTCGAAAGTTTTCTGCCACAGAGTAGGACTTACCAGAGAAGTGTCCTTGGGAGAAGGTGAGGAGGAGCCCCGGCCTGTGTTAAGTTTAGTGGTGATTTAATGAACTACACTAAGAATAATCAGGGCATGTTTCAGAATCTATATACAAAGCTAGAACATGTTTAAGGTAACCAAAGACTAGTTTCTTGATTTCACACTATCATTTTTCAGGCAATCAGGTGCTTAAAAATCTTACCACGAATCTATACACTAATAAAATGAATGATCAGGGCATGTTTCAGAATCTACAACATCTTTGCTAATCAAATAAAGTTTTAGTAGAAACAGTTTCCATAATTCAAAGC